CATGGGTAAGACTGCCGACCTGACTGCTGTCCAGAAGGCCATCATTGACACCCTCAAGCAAGAGGGTAAGTCACAGAAAGAAATTGCTGAACGAATAGGCTGTTCCCAGAGTGCTGTATCAAGGCACCTCAGTGGGAAGTCTGTGGGAAGGGAAAAGTGTGGCAGAAAACGCTGCACAACGAGAAGAGGTGACCGAACCCTGAGGAGGATTGTGGAGAAGAGCCGATGCCAGACCTTGGGGGACCTGCGGAAGCAGTGGACTGAGTCTGGAGTAGAAACATCCAGAGCCACCGTGCACAGGCGTGTGCAGGAAATGGGCTACAGGTGCCGCATTCCCCAGGTCAAGCCACTTTTGAACAAGAGACTGCGTCAGAAGCATCTCGCCTGGGACTGCTGCCGAGTGGTCCAAAGTTATGTTCTCTGATTACAGTAAATTTTGCATTTCCTTTGGAAATCAAGGTCCCAGAGTCTGGAGGAAGAGAGGAGACACAAAATTCACATTGCTTGAAGTCCGGTGTCAAGTTTCCACAGTCACTGGGGTGTCATGTCAGCTGCTGGTGTTGGTCCACTGTGTTTTATCAAGCACAGGGTCAATGTAGCTAGCTATCAGGAGATTTTGGAGCACTTCATACTTCCATCTGCTGAAAAGCTTTATGGAGATGAAGATTTCATTTTTCAGCACGACCTGGCACCTGCTCACAGTGCCAAAACCACTGGTAAATGGTTTACTGACCATGGTATTACTGTGCTCAATTGGCCTGCCAACTCTCCTGACCTGAACCCCATAGAGAACCTGTGGGATATTGTGAAGAGAAAGTTGAGAGACGCAAGACCCAACACTCTGGATGAGCTTAAGGCCGCTATCGAAGCATCCTGGGCCTCCATAACACCTCAGCAGTGCCACAGGCTGATTGCCTCCATGCCATGCCGCATTGAAGCAGTCATTCATGCAAAAGGATTCCCGACCAAGTATTGAGTGTATAACTGAACATGATTATTTGAAGGTTGGCGTTTTTTGTATTAAAAACACTTGTCATTTATTGGTGGGATGAAATATGCTAATTTTTTGGGACAGGCATTTTGGGTTTTCATGAGCTGTATGCCATAATCATCAGTATTAAAACAATTAAAGACCTGAAATATTTCAGTTGGTGTGCAATGAATCTGAAATATATGAAAGTTTCATTTTTATCATTACATTATGGAAAATAATGACCTTTATCACAATATGCTAATTTTTTGAGAAGGACCTGTAGATCCAGCACTGAGCAGGAAGGAGGGGCGAATTGTTTTTCTGTAGACAGAACAAAGAAAAGTAACTTTCGAGACTGGTACCAAAAGCCAGTCAAAATGTTAGTTAAGTACTGTAACCCCAGATTCTATGAATACAAGCGTAGCCCTTTAAGGCTGTCGCTTAGTGGGTTTATCCCGTCATGTCAAGCATTACACTGAAAAATTTAGGCCACGCCCACCAGTTGTGTGGGCCCCACCCGGTCCGTATAAATTACGTTAAGAGTGGGTAATCGGCTCCCAAATAGCTTTTTCTTCATCCATTTAGGAGCCAGTGAGGCCCGACGCTTAAAGGGCTACGCCTATACTCATAGAATCTGGGGTTACAGTACGTAACCAACTTTCTATTTCAAATAGACTTCGTCCTTTAAGGCTGTCGCTTAGTGGGTTAAGGGCGAAGCGGATGTGGTCCTCGCCTCACCGGGTCCATTCGAACACCGTATGAAGCGGAAGCTTGCCCAAAAAACGTCTTGTCACTCAGCTCCCCATGTACGTAATTACGCATTGCGTAATTATGAGTACCATGCACAGACGCCATCCATCCATCCATTTCCTTCCGCTTATCCGGGGTCGGGTCGCGGGGGTAGCAGCCTAAGTAGGGAGGCCCAGACTTCCCTCTCCCCAGCCACTTGGGCCAGCTCTTCCGGGGGAATCCCGAGGCGTTCCCTGGCCAGCCGAGAAACATAGTCCCCCCAGCGTGTCCTGGGTCTTCCTCTGGGCCTCCTCCCGGTGGGACGTGTCCGGAACACCTCACCAGGGAGGCGTCCAGGAGGCATCCTAAACAGATGCCCAAGCCACCTCAACTGGCTCCTATCGACGTGGAGAAGCAGCGGCTCTACTCTGAGTCCCTCCCGGATGATCGAGCTTCTCACCCTATCTCTAAGGGAGAGCCCAGACACCCTGCGGAGAAAACTCATTTCGGCCGCTTGTATCCGAGATCTCATTCTTTCGGTTACAACCCAAAGCTCGTGACCATAGATGAGGGTAGGAAAGTAATCGATCAGTAAATTGAGAGCTTTGCTTTTTGACTCAGCTCTCTCTTCACCACGACAGACCTGTACAGCGCCTGCTTCACTGCTGACGCTGCACCTATCCGCCTATCGATCTCATGCTCCATTTTCCCCTCATTCATGAACAAGACCCCAAGATACTTGAACTCCTCCACTTGGGGTAGGACCTCCTCCCTGACCCGGAGAGGGCACTCTACCCTTTTCCGGCTCAAGACCATGGCCTCGGATTTGGAGGAACATATATATATATATATATATATATATATATATATATATATATATA